CAAGGTCACGCAGGCTGGAGGGAGACTGCGCTGTGTCTGACCGCCCGCACCCAAGTGGGAGCAACTCCAGGGAAGGGAGAGCGCGGGCTCTCCTCCTGTAGCGAGCCTCGTCCAAAGTGCGCTTGTACGCCTGTAGGCGCTGCTGGAGCGACTTCTTGTTGCCGCGGTCGTGCGCGGCTAGGGGGACCTCGATGCCCCTCCTTTCCAGCGACTTGATCCAGCACTGCTCGCAGAGCCACCTGCAGTTTTTGCCCTGCATGTACGCTTGGGAGCGGTTTTGCGCCAGAAGTTCCAATGTGCCGTCATCCTCCCAGGTGCCGGCCGTGCCTTTGATTCCCGTGTTTGGGCAGCCGTCTCCGTCGCAGTCGAAGCTGCCGTCGTCCTGCCGCCTGACGTGGAATCTGTCGTCACTTACCTTTGGTGGGGTGGGTGTTGTACCGGGGGCCGGGGATGCAGGGGAGTCTTCGTCGAGCCGCCTGTTGGACATGGCGATTCCTCCGCCGATGTATTCCAGGTCTGCCATTGAGCAACCGAGCCCGTCCTCGGACCCGCTGAGCTCCTTGTGCAGCGTGCAGAAGGAACACTTTTCCTTGCTCTGGGACTTGATCGCGGCAGGTTTGACTATCTCCTCCAGGACCCTGATGGGGGCCTCCAGCGAGAACTTGCAATTCAGCATCCCTGCCCAGGTGGTTGGGCACCCGTGGTTGGTTGCAACCTGGTGGTGGTGGGCATAGGTGGCGAGCGTGCTGATATGCTTGATTGTGTCCTCCATTCTCCCGTGGAGGGATGAGAGGTCACAGGTCGAAGCCCCAGGCCCCTGCAAATTTGGTTATGTATTCTTTGTGGACACTCTGCCAGGGGTAGCAGATGCCCATGGTTGCTTTGATGATGTCCCCGGTGGCCTCTGGGTGTGGGAAGGGCCATAGCGTCGCTCGGGGCCCGCGCAGTTGGAGCATCATAACCACTAGGAGGACACTGAGCGCGGGGGTGTCCAGGGGGAGTCCGTCGCTGCTGAAGAGGGAGCGCCTTAGCTCCGAGTTGGCTTGTCCTGGGCGGAGCAGGGACTTCAGGTGCTGCATCCCTGGGTGTGCGCGGTGCCGCCTGCATCCCCCTGTCTCTTGGCTCCATGCCTGTGGAAGCAGCTGTAGCACGTCGGGGGGAGTGCAGCGGCTGGCGCCCTTCGGGAGGTGGCTGACGCCTTTCACATCGGGTAGGGGGGGGAGCGGCGCCTCGGGGACCGCCAGGTGCGAGTTGGCCCAGGGGGGGCCCAATCCGAGGAACCAGACCAGAGCGGCCCACGTTAGGTTGTAGACAAGGTTGTTTGCGTTAATGCCCAGCTCGACGTCGCAGCAGAATCCTAGATGGCCCCATGCCTTGCGGTCGAGCCGGCCGGGCTGCCTTGGTGCGTCGGCTATGGAGTACTGGTGGGGGTGAAGCCCAGAGACGGTTCACAGTACAACCCCCATGGCGGGGTCCTCGACGAGCCTCTGCAGGCTGTTTCGGATGGCGTCACCGAGGCTGTTCCATGAGAACTCCGGGTCGAGTGGTGCTGCTATCTGTACAGAAGCGTGCAGAAATTATTCACTGCGTGGAGCTCCCCATATGTGCATCTATTCGCATGGACCTGTCCGCCGTAAATGTCTAGGCGCAAGAGCTGTCGAATATACACGGGTTTCAGTTGTGACGGTCTGGACATAAATCTGACTGCGAATGAATTGGAGTGTGAATGAGCCTCAGTAGTACGAGCGCGTCTTTATGCATGAGCCTGGGGCCTCCTGGGGCCTCCTGAAACCTACTGGGGCTTCCTGGGGTCTCCAGGAGCCTCTTGGGGCCTCCTGGGACCTCCTAGGGAGGTTTCGCGCCCCAGGAGAGGCGCAATATATAGCAACAGACGTACATAAAACATCTCGGATTAGAGCCACAGGAGAAGGGCAATCTATAGGAACACGCGTAAAACACCAAGGACTCGTGCCCCAGGAGAGGCCCAATATATAGGAACATAACTAAAACATGTAGGATTGTGTACACAGGCGAAGGACAATATATAGAAACATACGTATAACATCAAAGAATCGTGTTCCAGGTGAGGCCCAATCGATAGGAGCATACGTAAAACACATGGGATTGGAGCCACTCCTGTTGCCTTTCTGAGGCCTCCTGCTCCTGGGGCCTCTCGGGGCCTCCTGTTGCCTTCCGAGGCCTCCTGGCGTTTCCTGTTGCCTCCTGGGGCCTCCTGTGGTTTCCTGAGGCCCTCTGGAGCTTCCTGGGGCCTCCTGGAGCCTCTTGGGACATCCTGTTGCCTGTTGAGTCTTTCTGTGGCCTCCTGATGCCTCCTGGGACCTCATGTGGTCTCCTGGGGCCTCCTGGAGCCTGTTGGAGCCTCCTGTGGCATCCTGAGAAGAATCTGCGCCCACGAGCCTGGCCACCAAAAGAAGCAAACCGATCGAGACATCCTCCAAATCTGCTCCGAAAGCGAAGGATGTTGGCACAGAAAACAGGCAAACCGCTCGAGACATCCCCACAAAATCCCGCGAAAGGGGCCGAGTGCAATACCCCCCCGCCGCTCCCCTTAGGAACGTGAAAATGAGCGCCTCGCTCGAGACATCCTCCCTCCAAATCTGCTCCGAAAGCGAAGGATGTTGGGACAGAAAACAGGCAAACCGACCGCTCGAGACATCGCCACAAAATCCCGCGAAAGGGGCCGAGTGCAATACCCCCCCGCCGCTCCCCTTAGGAATGCTGAAGCCACAGAATCGCCTGAGACATCCTCAACATCAGCGTGTGTGAGTCATCCGATGAGTGGACCTGAGTGAGTGTAGTGAATGTATGAGTACAAGTACGAGTGAGTATGATGAAAGAGTCCGAGCGATGAGTGAGTATGAGTGATGAGTGAGTCTGAGTGATGAGTGATGAGTCTGCGTCATGACTGAGTCCGAGTGATGAGTGAGTCTGAGTGATGAGTGAGTCTGAGTGATGAGTGGGTGTGAGTGGTGAGTGAGTCTGAGTGATGAGTGAGTGGGTATGAGTGAGAGGAGTGGTGTGTTCTCTCTCTCCTCCCGCGCGGTCCGCCAATAACAAGAACCCCATACTTAGGATATGGGGAATAACAAGCGCGGCTCGATGGCAAAATAGCTGCCATGCGTGCTGGGGCGCAAGCAGAAGGCGCGAACCCGGGGATGGACGGAGAGGATGGAGGAAGAGGAGGAGGAGGAGAAGGAGGAGTTCGGCACCCGCTGGGGAAGCGATCGCATTCCAACATGCATCAACACAGGGGCGGCACATCGACCTCAAAGAAGTCGCCACCCGGGGCCAAGGACGCCCCACAGGCCAGGGTTCAAACTCTGACGAATCAATGTCCAATTCGGATCGAGCCGCACGGTTCCTGCGCTCAACAACACGGGCACCGGGGGCTCCGGCCGCAGCCCGACCCGGGAAGCCGAACAAAGCCAACCCCCACGCCAAGCCCCCCACCATTCCAGCAGGCATCGTCGGCCTCGAGCCTTCGGCAGGCGGCCGTGCAAGGGCGGGCTGCTGCTCCAGCCCCATCTTGGGTGCCAGCCAGGCCCTCGATGCCTCCGAAATCACAGTCGGCGAGCAAGAGAAGGAGGAGGAGGAAGAGGCTGAGGAGGAGGAGGAGGAGGAGGAGGAGGAGAGGACGCCGGGAGGCGGGAAAGAGTTGGCCGGGCCAGCGATGCCTGCGGAGCAGCGGCCGCAGCAAGGACGAGACAGCGATGGCCGTCGGCAAGGTCCCGCAGGCAGCGCGCATGGGGAGATCAGGCAGAAGATATGTTCGGCTTTTTACTCACGTTGGCGCAATAACTCCACGTAGTTAGCTCCACGGAGGTGATTACAATCGCTGCGCACCGTTCCTGAACCAATCTTGATACGACGTCAAGTCCGTAAATCCGCCGATCCGGCGTGTGAGTTTCAAGGAGTCTCAGCTACAGCCTCGAGGGCGCCACCCTGCGGCCGCGCAGGCGCTCGGCGGGCAGAACGCGGCCCTCGGAGCTCCCCCCGAAGAGGAGCACCTCGCCGTCTGCCAGCACCAGCGCCGTGTGACACCCGCCGCAGGCGGCCTGCGCCACCCTGCGGCCGCGCAGGCGCTCGGCGGGCAGAGCGCACTGGCCCAGAAAGTTACTCCCGAAGAGGAGCGCCTCGCCGTCTGCCAGCACCAGCGCCGTGTGAAAGTCGCCGCAGGCGGCCTGCGCCACCCCGCGGCCGCGCAGGCGCACGGCGGGCAGAGCGCACTGGCCGTCGCCGTTGTTCCCGAAGAGGAGCGCCTCGCCGTCTGCCAGCAACAGCGCCGTGTGATTCCCGCCGCAGGCGACCGCCATGGCCCTGCAGCGGCGGCTGGCCGAGCAGGCGGCGCGGGGCTGGGGTCCTCGCGCCGCAGTGGCCTTGAGCCAGGGGGGGCTACGGGCTGGTGGGCATACGCCAAGCGCCATGACTTGATGCCTCCCGTCGATCACAATGCCAGAACCGAAACCGAGGAGCGAGCTCTCGCCGTCCCCACTGCTCGTGCTGCAGCAGCGACCCTCCTCCTCGTCTTCTTCATTACCGTCACCATCACCATCACCATCCTCCTTCTGGGCATGGACGCGTCAGCATGGGGGAAAAGGGTCCTGAGGGAGTCGGGTCCTGGACACTGGGGCCTTCCCCCAGAGCCTCTTGATCGTCCTGAGCCGTTTTCTGACACTCCCGGGGCCCGTGGAGGGACCCGAGAGCCCGAAAACGGTGAAAAACCTCAGGACCCGCTTCCATCTCAGGACCCGAGGCATGGAATCGAAAAAGAATACACGGTGTAAGCAGAACCTTTCGACGGTACGCGCGGACTTCTTGGGTCTGCGCGGGCCCCCCCTCCCTGGCGCGCGGAGCGCGCCAGGAACGGCGCCGGAGGCGCCGCCAGGGGGCTCCAGCGCCGAGTCAAGACAGTCCACGCGGACCGTCGAAAGTTCATACCTATGCAGTTGCCTTCCCTCTCGATCGACGTGGCAGCGCTCCGGGGACAGGTTCATCGGGTCGCCAGGGCAGTCGACCGGGGCCGCCGCGTCGGGGGACTGGAACTCCTCAGCCCCGCGCTCGGCTGCCCGCGGCCGGGCGCCCTCCCCGCGCCACGCCTTGGGCGTCGTCATTATTAATATGATTATCGTTCCCCCTCTCCTTACGATTAATATTATGGTTATCCTTGTTGTTCTTCTGATTCATCATCCACCTTATGGTTCGCCCTCTACTAATGAATTTGCCTTTCGTATTATTATTGATACTATTTCTTCGAGTTACGAGTAGTAGTGATATCTTTATGGATATATGTTTCGCCGTAGTACGAGTAGTACTAGTAGTAGTCGTAGTAGTAGTAATAGTAGTCGTAGTAGTAGTAGTAGTAGTAGTAGTAGTAGTAGTAGTAGTAAGAGGTAGTTGTTGTAGTAGCAGTAGTAGTAGTAGTAATAGTAATACTACTACTACTACTACTACTACTACTACTACTACTACTACTACTACTACTACTACTAGGTGGTCGTCGTCGTCGTCGACGTCGTCGTCGTCGTAGTAGTAACAGTAGTAGTAGTATGCGTAGTAGTATGCGTAGTAGTATGCGTAGTAGTAGAAGGAATAGTAGTAGTAGTCGTAGTAGTCGTAGTAGTCGTAGTAGTAGTCGTAGTAATAGTAATAATAGTCGTCGTCGTCGTAGTAGAGTCGTCGTAGTAGTAGTAATAATATTAGTATTAGTAGTAGTAATAGTAGTAGTAGTGGTAATAGTAGTAGTAGTAGTAGTAGTAGTGGCAGTAGTAGTAGCAGTAGTCGTAGTAATAGTAGTAGTAGTCGTCGTCGTCGTCGTAGTAGAAATACTAGTAGTACTAGCGGTAGTCGTAGTAGCAGTAGTACTAGTACTAGTAGTAGTAGTAGTAGTAGTAGTAATAGTAGTAGTAGTGGTAGTAGTAGTCGTAGAAGTAAGAATCGTAGTAGTAGTAGTAGTAGTAGTACTACTAGTACTAGTATTAGTCGTAGTGATAGTGATAGTAGTACTACTACTGTCGTCCTCGTAGTAGTACTCGTAGTAGTAGTAATAGTAGTCGTCGTCGACGTCGATGTCGTCGTCGTCGTCGACGTCGTCGTCGTAGTAGTAATAGTAGTAGTAGTAGGCGTAGTAGTAGTAGTACTAGTAGTAGTAGTAGTACTAGTAGCAGTAGTAGTAGTAGTAATAGTAGTAGTAGTAGTAGTAGTAGTAGTAGTAATAGTAGTAGTAGTCGTACTAGTAGGAGTCGTAGTAATAGTAGTAGTAGTAGTAGTAGTCGTCGTCGTAGGAGTAGTAGTAGTAGTAGAAGTAGTAGTAATAGTAGTAGTAGTCGTCGTCGGCGTCGTAGTAGTAATAGTAGTAGTAGTAGTAGTAGTAGTGGCGGTAGTCGTAGTAGTAGTAGTAGTAGTAGTAGTAACAGTAGTAATAGTTGTAGTAGCAGTAGTAATAGTAGTAGTCGTCCTAGTAGAAATGGTCGTAAAAATCATAGTAGTACTATTAGTAGTCGCCGTCGTGGTAGTAGTCGTAGTAGTAGTAGTAGTCGTAGTAATAGTAGTAGTAGTAGTAGTAGTAGTAGTAGTAGTAGTCGCAGTAGTAGTAGTAGTAGTAGTAGTCGTAGTAGTAGTCGTAGTAGTAGGAGTAGTCGTAGAATTAATAGCAGTAGTCGTCGTAGTAGTCGTAGTAGTAGTCGTAGTCGTAGTAATATGAGTAGTAGTAGTCGTCGCCGTCGTCGTACTAGTAACAGTAGTAGTAGCAGCAATAGTCGTAGTAGTAGTCGTAGTAATAGTAGTAGTGGTAGTAGCAGTAGTAGTAGTAGTAGTAGCAGTAGTAGTAGTAGTCGTCGTCGCAGTCGTAGTAATGATAGTAGTAGTCGTCGTCGTCGTCGTAGTAGTAGTCGTAATATGTTTCCTCATCTTTCTCTTCTTGGGTACTTCGGGGCGGTCGGGCGCGGTCGCGACCGCACGGGCGCAGCCGCGGCGGGGCCCTCCCGGCAGAGGCAGCCGCGGCCACAACGGCATGCCAAACTTCCTCCTCCTTCTGCCCCTCCTGCTCCTCCTCCTCCTCCTCCTCCGCCTCTTCCCCCATCTCCTCTTCCTACTCCTTCTCCATCCCCCTCTTCCTCCTCCTCCCCCCCTCCTCCTCCTCCTCTTCCTCCTCCTCCGCCTCTTTCTCCTCCTTCTCCTATTCCTCCTCCTCCTCCTCCTCCTCTCCCTCCTCCCCCTCCTCCTCCATTTCTACTCCATATAAACAATTCCTCCCTGTCGCACCACGAACCGGATGAAAGGGCGGGCCGGGCGTTTCGCTTGAAGCTTCGTCGCCATGAGTGATCCTGAAGCTTGAAATTTGCAACAGCTTCACGAAGAGAGGACGGCCCGTTTTCAAAATATGGCTCTCGCGTTAGCGCCGCGCACACTCGTTTAAAAGTTTGCAAGAGCTTCACGGATGCAGGGCGGCTCATTTTCAAAATGTGGCTCTCGCCTTAGCGCCACGCACACTCGTCTTAAAGATGAGCACAAGCTTCACTCAAAGGTGGACGGCGGCACCTTGTCAGAATGTGGCTCTCGCCATAGCGCCGCTTACGTTCATTTCAAAATTTGCAAGAGCTTTATGGATGGAGGGTGGCTCCTTTTCGAAATGTGGCCCTCGCCTTCGCGCCGCGCACATTCGTCTTAAGCGATTGCAGAAGATTCAAAAAATCGAATGGCTAACGTCCCAGAAATGGCATTTTGGCACGATGTCGGAACGTCAGGGCGCAACAGTCACGTTGTATCGCGGTGTTGAAGTCCCGGGAGTGGCATTCTGGCACGATTCGGGATTGTCAAGACGCAATAGTAACGGTGGTTCGCTGCGTTGCAGTCCCAGGAATGGAGTTCTGGCACAATTCCGGATTCTCAAATGGTTGTCTTCCAACCGGGCATTTCCCTTAGTGAAAATGAATCCGTGCTGGAGCCTATGGAGAGGGAACTTGGAGGAAGGGTAGCGTTGATGAGTCTTGGGTTTACACTGGTCCTCCTCCTCCTCCTTCTACTCATCATCATCATCCTCCTCCTCATCATCATCAGCATCAGCATCAGCATCATCATCATCATCATCAGCATCATCATCCTCATCCTCATCATCATCAGCATCATCAGCATGAGCATTATCATCATCATCATCATCATCATCATCATCATCATCATCAGCAGCAGCAGCAGCATCATCCACATGTTCCTCCTCCTCCTCCTCCTCCTCCTCCTCCTCCTCATCATCATCATCATCATCATCATCATCATCATCATCATCATCATCATCATCATCATCATCGTCATCATCATCATCACCTACTCCTGCTCCTCCTCCTCCTCCTCCTCCTCCTCCACCTACTCCCCCCCTGCCCTTCCTCCCCCTCCTCCTCCTCCATGCCCCTCCTCCTCCTCCTCCTCCTCCTCCTTTTCCTCTTCCTCCTCCTCCTCCTTGCCCTTCTCCTCCTCCATCTCCTCCTCCTCTTCCTCCATCTCCTCTTCCTCCTCCTCCTCCTCCTCCCACATCCCGCTCCTCCTCCCCCTCCTCATCGTCATCATCATCATCATCATCATCATCATCATCATCATCATCATCATCATCATCACACCCACCATCATCATGATCAGCATCATCATCATCATCATCATCATCATCATCACCACCATCATCATCATCATCATCATCATCCTCATCATCATCACCACCACCACCATCATCAGCACACTGATGATCACCATCATCATCATCATCATCATCATCATCATCATCATCATCATCATCATCATCATCATCATCATCATCATGCTCATCCTCATCCTCATCATCATCCTCATCATCACCATCACCATCACCATCACCATCACCATCACCATCATCATCATCATCATCATCATCATCATCATCATCATCATCATCATCATCATCTTCATCTTCATCTTCATCTTCATCATCATCATCATCATTATGACTGACCACACGGTGTGGCCGCCGCAACGTTAGGGGGCCCCGGACAGCAACTCGCGTGGCCGACTTCCCTGGCGCCTCCGGGCGCCAGAGGCGCCAGTGTATCGACGGAGGCGCCCGGTGGGGCCCGAAGCGGCTGCACGGGCAGCAGATTCTGCCATCCCTCCCCCCCCTTGCCCGAGCCCACCCTCCGCCCGACCCGAAGCAGCAGCGCGAGCGAGCGCGCACAGCCCGGTCCGACGGGCCGGCCCTTCGGGGGCAGCGCGGGGCAGGCCGAGGGCCGGCAGGGGCTCGCGCCGCGGCAGCAGCCGCACGGAGGTGCGATCGGGCACGGCCGAGCCGACGGAAAGGCTGCCGAGCCACCCCGCGGAGCACGCCACGTTTGCACGCCCGCGGCCAGGCTCGTCCTGGGCCCAGGATCGGTGCATGCGCCCCCCTTCGCCTGGGAGGGAAGGCATGCACACCGATCCTGGGCCCAGGATGGGCTTGGACAAACCCAGCTGTGGAGGAACCAGCAAGTACCGATACCGCTACTCCCTGGAACTCTCCCCGGGCGCGTTCTGACCAGCACTCCGAGGCGGAGCGAAACCAGCCGTGCCGACGAAGGAAGGGTAGCGGTGTCGGTATCTTGTGGGCGTGAGTGGGTTACCCCGTCTCGGTGCAAACCTGGCTCAGGCAACTTTCAAAAAACTGCTCTGCAACTTTTTGCGGGGCTTCCCAAACCCAGCTTGGCCAATACGGAAAACCACCTCCAGGGCCGCGAGCGGCTCCTAAACCCGGCTCGGCCAAGATCCGATCCGTCAGGATCAGGCGATCTGGCTGAGCCTCGCTAGCCCTGAGCCCCGCTACGTGAGCCCCGAAAATGTTCCTCCGCTGACCTCTGGCCCCGACTATTTCCCTGGAACCAGCTTTACGCCCTGGGTCAATGTTTGGTGGTCCCAGGGACTGATAACAAACCCTGAAGCCGAAATCGAGAAAAAACGCCGTACGTACCGACGTCATGATTTTGTCATAACGTCAACCCCCCAGAAGGTGTCGACTCACTCCCCTGGACAGGCTTCCCATCCTGAATCGGTTTTTGACATTCCCGAGGCACAATGAGGACCCCATAGTCCGAAAATAAGGAAAAGCCCTCCGTCATGATTTGATCATGACTCGAGAGGGTCTGAATCGACACCAACAGACGCTTATCGACGCTAAATCGAAACGTAGAAACGACGCTAGTCGACGCTAAATCGGCGCTAAATCGGCGCCTTCTCGTCGACTACCAGACACGATCGCACACTGACGCTCTCGAATGACGGCATTGCGAAGACATAGAAGGCCCCCATGATTTGAAGACCGAACGGCATCGGTTGGCGGCGCGCAGAGGGAAATACCCGCGCCTTCTGAGAAGCAGCCTCGTTCCCCCCTCCCCCTTCTGAACCACCTCTGCGCGTGGCCGAATCGGTCTGTTCTCCTCCTCTGACCTCCGGCCTCGAGACTGCAGCGCGCCAGGCGCGGGCGCCCCCGCGGGCGGCCCGAGCGCCGCCTTCGCGGCACGGCCGCGCCCCCGGCGCGCCGTCACCCGCGCAGCGCGGGCGGGCCCGCCGGCAGAAGTCGGCGCCGCACGCAAGCGTTCGGCGAGGTGGGCGACGACGACCGCCACCACTAACTACGACGACGGCGACGGCGACGGCGACGGCGACGGTGGCAGCGACGGCGATGGTGGCGGCGACGGTGGCGGCGACGGCGGCGGCGTCGGCGACGGGTAGCTGAGGCGCTCGCGGCGCCGCCCGCGATCATCGTGTGCAGGACCTCGCCGCGGCTGCGCCGCGGACGGCAACGGCAGCGGCGGCGCCCACTTGAGGATTGACCGCTCTCACTTGCTCGCGTGCCGCTCACTTCTGTGTATCTTAGCGGCGCGCACAAGGGGGGTAGGGGGAGGGGGAGAAGCTCATTAGAAGGAGGCTGCTTCTTGAAGCTGCCCGCCCTACATCTGTGACCAAAGCCCGCACCTTCTAAGAAGCAGTGGGTGCTTCAAGAAGCCTGACCCCCTCCCCCTACCCCCCTCTGCGCGTGGCCGAGTATCCATCTCCTTTGTACCAGCCATCTTCGTCCCTGCACGTGCCCCCTCTTGGGGGGGTATGCTGCATATTCATGTCAGCTCCAAGGCAGACCTCGACAGAGTTAAAGAGGGCACAAGAGAACAGAACTCGGACTCTGAAATGTGAAGGAGGGAAGAGAGGGAAGGAAGGGGGGCAGGGAGAGCGGGAGGAGGGAGGAGAAGTCCAGTTTGAAACAAAAACAGCGGGCTCAGAGATGGGAGCGCGCAGACTGCTGGCGCGCTTCCTGCCCTAACGCGCTTCCTAAAGCGAGTTGCAGGGAGACCTAGCGAGCGGGAGTCGTTGTTTTGAGCCTTCACCAATCCGTACGTGCATTAGCACGGGGGAAGCGGGTCGTGGGAGAAACGGGTCTTGGGCCCCGGGGCCTTCCCCCCAGGGCGAGATCTTCATCCTGAGCCGTTTTCTGATTGTCCCGGGGCCATTAGACGGCCCCGAGAGCTCGAAAACGCAGAAACACCTCAGGACCCGTTTCCCTCAGGACCCGTTTCTCACATGGCGAATGTAAGTTGCCAGCTGGCCTCGGGCGAGGGCGCGAGTCCTGAGAGTGCGAGGACATCACTGCCAGGGGCGCCTCCCAGCAACCTGCGAGGAGATACTGACCTGGAGCCGCTGTTGTTGTTGTTGTTGAACTCTCACTGCTGAAGAAAAAATATTGTTGATCCCCCCTCTGGGGCAGTGTATTTTTCAGTTGAAGTGCCCTTCCTGGGGCTCGCGCCCTGTCTTTTATCAGGGAGTCTTGAGTCTCAGAATTGGGCCCCTGGCCCCCAAGCTACAACAACAACAACGGCGGCCCCCGCCTCATACTTCCTCACAAGTTGTTCCCAAATCGCGCTCTCGCGTGGGACCTCGCAATGTATGCAGAATCGCGCTCTCGCGTGGGACTTCCTCGCAGTTTATTCAGGCGCACTCGACACTTAGGAATCAGGCTCTCGCTTTGGCCTATCTCACGATTAATTTGAAAATCGCGCTATCGCTCGAGCCTCGCGACTCCTGCAGGACGCACGCTTCAGCAACCCACCTGCTCGACCTGGCCGCCTGGTCCCGCCTTCCCGACCCGCCTGTTAGGGTCTACGCGCCCGATCTGCCCGTCTTGTTCTGCCACGTGTTTTCTGCTCCTCTAGCCCCCCTCCTGCTACTCTCTCTCTCTCTCTCTCCCTCTCTCTCTCGTGCTCCATCCTCCTTCCTCCCCTTTATCTCTTTCTTCCATCCGCAGTCTCTTCCCCTGCAGTGAGGGCTGCATGAAATACACGCTGCAGGTAACGAAGGTATACCCCCAAAGGGGTACGATCGAAGACGAAGAGGGCGAGCATCGAGGGCTTAGGATATACGTGTTGAATGGCACGCACGCTGATAAGAGCGAACAGCTTGAAAATGGTGTTGTTGTTGTCGTCATCGTCGTTGTTGATGGTGTTGTTGTTGTTGTTCTGATTGCTGTTGCTAGTGTTGCTGTTGTTGTTGCTGTTGTTGTTGCAGCTGTAACTGGGTGTTCAAGTCCTGGCCGAGAACGCCGCTCTTGAGTGTGAGGACGTCTCTGGCCAGGGCTCCTCTGAGTGAAATTTGACCAGCCCTCTGGACGTAGGTGGTCTAAGGAGCTTCCTTTCCAACCCCCTTCTTCCCCTTCGGGGGGGATCTATCACTGTTCCCCATGAAGATACACCCCCTCCCCCACCCGGCCGACGTCCAACCCGGAACCATGCTAACTCCATGAGGGCCGCCCCCCCGCCATCCCTGTCAAAAAGCAATAGAAAACGCACTCTGCTTCCACATTTGGAGCATGCGCGGCCGCCCCGCGACCATTTTGGATGGGTATTTTAGAGGGACGGCTGGGGTGCCAGCAGATCCCACCTGCCTTCTGGGCGCAGGTGGTCGACCGACTTGTTTGACACATCAGTGTCTGCTGCCTTTTCGCCTTATCGTTTCCGATGGGCTTTCGAAACCTGCAAATGGCTCCAAAACTGGCCAAGAAAGCTCCAAAGTCGGGCTCAAGAGGCTTCGAAGCCAGCACATGAACGCCCCAAGTTGGCGCCAAGAGGGCGCCAAGAGGCGGTTTTGAAGACCTGAGAGAGAAGGCCTCCTGGTGGAAGGCCCAAGAGAGCTCCAAGCCGTGCCCACGAGGCCTCCGAGACGGTCCCAAGAGCGCCCCAAGGTGGCCCAAAGATGGCCTCAAAGGGTTGTTTTGAAGGCCCCCGAATGGAAGGCTAGCCCCAGATGGGGGGGCCTAATTGTTTCCGATGAGCAGTTGCGGCGTACGGAGGTGGAGCCCCTATTGGTGCCCGGTGCCTGGCGCACCTGGCGCGGCTGGAGCACGTGGAACACTGGGCGCACGTGGAGCACGTGCCGCACCTGGCGCGCCTCGCACGCTTGGGCCTCCAAGGTCTAGTGCAAATGGAACCCGTGGCGTCTGCGGCGTTCTTACGCGATATGCTGACTCCCGGGTAGGAGTGAGCTAGACGGCTTGCGGGCGGGTGGGTAGCTTGACCCCTCCCCCTACCCCCTACCCTGGACCTGGACGGGCGGGGTCGCGAGGGGTAAGAGCGTCCAAGATGGCCCAAGACGGCTCCAAGAGGCCTCAGAGAACCCAAGATGACCTCCAAGATGGCTCAAGATAGCGCAAGATCGCCCAATATGGTTTCCAAGATGCTCCAAGAGGCCCCCAGACCGCCACAAGACGGCTCCAAGAGGCCCCCGAGACTCCCAAGGAGGCCCCCAAGAAGCCAAAATCTGTCAAAAAACTTTGTTTGTTTAATGACTGTTGCATCGTCGCCCGTTCGCTTTCGATAGCTTTCCGAGGCCTCAAGACGGCTCCATGTGGCCGAAGACGGCCCCAAGAGAGCCCCAAGACGGCCCCAAGAGCGCTCAAGAGCGCCCCAAGAGGTGTCCAAGAGGCGACTTGAGACACTCTCGAGGGGCAAGGCTCCTTGCGACCCTCCCCTTCTTTGATCGATGTCATCGAAGATGGCTCCAAGAGCGTCCTCAAGGCTCCCCAGAGCGCCCTCAAAGGTCCCCAAGAGGCGCCCAGACGGCCCCAAGAGGCGCCCAAGAGGCTTCCAGGCCCCCAAGCGTCCCCAAGGCTCCGTTCCCAAGAGCGCCCCAAGAGGGTCCCGAGAGGCGCCCAGACGGCCCCAAAAGGCGCCCAAGAGGCCCCCAAAAGGCCCCCAGAAGGCCCCCAAGAGGCCTCAAGAGGATCCCCGAGGCACCCAAGACGCGCAAAGACGGCCCTCGGACCGCCATGATGCCCCCCAGACGCTCCAAGAGGCCTCGAAACAACTCCCGAGTGACATCCGAGGAGACTCTTCTGTTCGTCCTTGTTCCTCCTCCTCGTTCCCCTCGTCCTTCTCCTCCTCATCCTTATCCTTACCAGCCTCCTCCTCATCCTCCTCATTACCCTCCTCCTCCTCCTCATCATCATCATCATCATCATCATCATCACCACCACCACCACCACCACCACCACCACCATCATCATCATCATCATCATCATCATCATCATCATCAGCATCAGCATCAGCATCAGCAGCAGCAGCATCATCATCATCATCATCATCATCATCATCATCATCATCAGCATCATCATCATCATCCCCCTTGTCACTTCGGAGAGAAATCAGAGGAGACTCCGAGAGTCATTCAAGAGGCTTCTGGCTCCTCTGCTTTCCTTTTTTCCTCCTCCTCCTCCTCCTCCTCCTCCTCCTCCTCCTCCTCCTCCTCTTTCTCCTTGTCCACTTTCGCCTCATCCTTCCTCCTCCTCCTCCTCCTCCTCCTCCTCCTCGCCCTCCTCCTCCTCCGACGCCTCATCCTCCTCCTCCTCCGACGACGACGACGACGACGACAACGACGACGACCTCGACAGCACCGAAAGCGACGACCGCGACGCCAGCGACTGCGGCGCCGACGAGAACAACGACAGAAGGACGACGACGAAGACGAAGGGAGAGCGGACGGGGGAAGGGGAGGGGAGGGGGATGGAAAAGAACAAGAAGGGGGAGAGAAGGGGATGGAGAGGAAAACGGAGTGGAATGGAGTGGAGCTCGTAGAACCGTGGGAAAGAGGGATGGACAGAGTGAGAAGGTGAAAGACCCGAAGAGGCGGAGACTCTCAGAGAGAGCCAGACCAGAGATGCACGTACATTGTGCGCACGCACACGAAGAATCGCGCGGCAACAGTGGACCTCGGTGGACTTTGAAAGGAAGAACTCGTCGAAGCCCGACACGGTGACCTCGGCTGCCGCGTGCTCGTGCTCCCCCCCTCGTCCTCTGTCCTCTCCCCCTCTTCCCCCGGGGGCCGGTTGCAGGCTGCACATGTGAGGGCTCTCTGGGGTTCCCGGGACCGACGGCTCGCCGAGCCTCTTCTGGAGGCCGCTGCAGCCCCGGGGCTCCCCGAAGCGGCCCCCCGAGAGGGGCCCGTCGCGCGCGCTCTTCTCTCTGTCTTCTCCCCTTCTCTCTTCCTCTCTCCGTGCTCTGTTGGGCGCCTCAAGCCACACGGTGACAGGCCTGCGCTGTCACAGAAGCCTGCGGGAGCAGGTGACTCCAGCTCGCTTCTCTTGGCCAGCTCCGCCCAAGGCAGAGGGAGAAACACAGGCCACAGCGTCGTGAAATGCGATGGCCTCTGCGGTGAACGGCGACACGGGCGAGTCACGGAAGATGCCACAAGTTGCCCTAGGAAAAATACGAGTGAAACCGCTGTGAGTCACTCTCTCTCCCTCTCCCCCAAGACATCTGGCGCCTCGAAAAATCGTGGCGGCCGCTTTGTCGCGGGTTTCGGCCTCTGGAAGCGGGTATCGGACCTCGGGGCAATCCAGAACGGCTCGTGGCGAAAAACTGGCCCTGAAGGGGAAGGGGTCAAAAGGTCCACAGGCACACACATCGAAAAAGTCGAAGCTCTGGATGTCGGGGTCTCTCTCTCTCTCTCGCCAGCGTCCCCCCGTCAAAGGCGTTTCTTTCGGGGATGGACAGAACCCCTTTAGTAAAACGTGGTTTAGTGAAAACGACATCGGGCCCAAACCTGGCGGGCGCAAGCCTGGAAAATGACGGAATCCACTAATCGACGTGTCAGGGTGGGGGTTCTGTCCACCCCCGATTCCTTAGAGCGCGCGTGCAGGCTCGGAGGCGCTGGCAACCAGTTCCCCCGCTGGGACGCCGCTGAACCGCCGGCCGTCCGGCAGGATCGCGTCTACGCGCTGGGCTGCGCGGCCCAGCCTGCCCGCGCGGTGCTCTGCCCTCAGCTGCCCGCCAGATGGCCGCGAGGCGAGCGGCGGGCCCTGCCCCGGGTTCTGCAGCGCTCCGCCCCGCTGGAGGTCACGAGGCGCATCGTGTCCCCGTCGAGCGATTCCTGCAACGGTGCCGGACCAAAGTGAACGTTGTACGTCAGATCCGCGGTCAGCACGGGGATGTCGCACTCACCGGCGCAGTATCCGTCGCAGGCCACAAAGCGCTGCCGTCGCTCCCAAGCAGCACTGCTTGATGGTCCCCACGACGACTTGCGCGTAGGTCAGGGCCGCGGCCAGCGCAGGGAGATCGCACTCACCGTCATCGCTGCAGCTGCAGGCCACGGCGCTGCCGTCGCTCCTGAGCAGCACTGTGTGCGCTCCCGCCGGCGGCGACTTGCGCGCAGGTCACGCCAGCGGCCAACGCAAGGAGATCGCACTGACCGTTACGGTTGCTACCGCAAGCCACAGCGTCGCCGTCGCTCCTGAGTAACACCGTGTGATTCCCACCGGCGGTGACTTGTGCGTAGGTCAGGCCCGCGGGCAGCGCAATGAGATGGCCCTGACCCTTACGGTTGTTGCCGCAGGCCATGGCGCTGCCGTCGCTCCTGGGTAGCAGTGTGTGGTTCCTTCGAAAAGCGTCTTGCGCGCACGTCAAGCCCGCGGCCAGCGCCAGGAGATCGCAATGACGCGCGTAGTTCAAGCCGCCCGCCACAGCGCTGCTATCGCTCCTGTGCAGCACTGCGTGATTCCCTCCAGCGGCGACTTGCACGTAGGCCATGCCAGCGACTAGCGCATGGAGGCCGCACCGACCGTCAGCGTTGCAGCCGCAAGCTACGGCGGAGCGGCGGAGCCATCACTCCTAAGCACCAGTGTGTGGTCTTCTCCAGCGGCGAATTGCGCAGACCTCCCCAGGGGATCGGTAGCAGGTCCGGGGGAGGAGGTGCAGTTGGAGTTCCACCTAGGCGTTCGAATCGGAACTCAATGGCTATATGATACGGGGCGGAGCAGGAAGGAAGTGTGCAATGGTCTGGATCACAAAGGGTGGCCGGCCCCTAGGGGGGACAGGCAGCACCGTGGTGCCTAGGACCGCTGGGCAAGGCCAAGGAGTCAGTGATACATACCTGTGGCGCAGCGGACGACGCCACCCTTGAGACGGCACCCTGGTGGAGGCAACGCTACAGGTCCCACGCGGCGTCAAGGTGGACCGGCGGCAACGCAGGCGCGGCACGATGGAGCTCCTGGGGCAAGGACAGCCATGGCGCAGCGGGCACAGCTGGGAAGACCGCAACCTGGAAGGGGGCGCTGCTCACCGGAGGGACTGGGACGATCTGTACGACCGCCTGCACAAGGTTCCCTGGCGCGACGTCCAATGAAGCCAACTGTGGATCTCAAGAAAGCGTAGGAACGAAACCTGGCCAGAGACCATCAATCGTCTTAAGGGCACCTGCGGCGTGGTACAAGGGTGGAATAAGGCCTGCGACCAGAGGGACGGCAAGGGCTGGGGCAACGGACGATACAAGCCCAAAATTTTCGACATCTTCCGACGCGAATTCCTTGACAACCTGGCCAAGTCCCAGTACGACATTCGCGCTGTCTGTCGCTCCCGCCGCCTGGATGTTGAGGCGGCAACAGCAGGACCAGCAGGCCCAGGCCGCTAGCGGTAAAGGCCAAGGCGGCAAGCGGCCCAGCGGTGCCTCGTGGCCCACGAGCGACCAGTCCCGCACGCGTGGACTGCAGCTGCGGGCCTGGTTTGCCCTTGAGCATTATTTACGCAGCACGCTCCCTGCCCTGGACAGAACTGATCGGCAACAGATCCCACGCTGGAACCCGACAGTACGGCTCGGCGCCTTCCACCCCAAGAGGCGCCTTGTCCGTGATCCGCCTGCTTGTGCACCAGTTAACTGCTTTCCTTTTGGGCGCGCCATCCACCCCAGGTGCTGCGCCCCCCTCCCTCTTCCTTCGGGCGCGCCTTTGACCCCAGGTGGCGCGCCTCTTCCCCACCGCAGGCCGGCCGCCTTGGCTGCGCCCCTGCACCTGCTTGTGCACCTGTTCGGTGCCCTCTTCCCGCCCTGTTTGGGGGTGCGCCATCTGCCCCAGATGGTGCAGCAGGAGCGCCAGATTTGTTGGAAAGCCCGCTTTCGGCGGCGAGCAAGAGCCCCTGCCCCGAGTAGAACAGGAGCAGGTATCGAGCGGGTTATTCCTGTTGGGGGGCCGGTTCCGGCGCAACCCCGAAACGCCTGAGCGCAAGCCTGATCTTCAAAGGAACCGGAGCCAACACCGAGGCGCGAGCGAAGGGGTGGGTAAAGGGTGTCTAGTCATACCAACTGCTTCGCAACAAAAACTCAACAACAGCATCATCATCAACAACACCAGCAGCAGCAGAAGCAACTACTACAACAACAACAACAACAACAACAACAACAGCAGCAGCAGCAGCAACAGCAACAGCAACAGCAACAACAACAACAACAACAACAACAACAACAACAACAACAACAACAACAACAACAACAACAACTTTAAGACTGTTCGCTCTTCCTTGAACTTGGAGGAATGGTTTACAATATCGTTAATGAGTCTTGGCTTTACACTGGTCATCCTGCTCCTGCTCGTCGTCGTCCTCCTCCTCGTCCTCCTCCACCTTCTCCTCCTCATCCTCCTCATCTCTTCCTCCTCCTCGCCCTACTGCTGCTCCTCTTCTTCCTCCTCCTCCTCCTCCTCCTCCTCCTCCTCCTTCTCCTCCTCCTCCTCTTCCTCCTCCTCCGCCTCCTCCTCCTCCTCACTCTCCTGCTGCTGCGCAGACCGTGCGGCGCGACCCTCTGTCCTGGCAGTTGGACCTTGAACCCCAAGCCCCACCGTCGCGGGTGGGACCAGGCAAAGATGAAGCGAGAGAACAGCACTGAGGTAGGTCAGAGAGGGAATCCTCCTCCTCCTCCTCCTCCTCCTCCTCCTCCTCCTCCTCCTCCTCCTCCTCCTCTCCTCCTCCTCCTCCTCTCCCTCCCCCCTCACAGCCACCACCACCACCACCACCACCACCACACCACCACCACCTCACCACATCACATCAGCTCAGCAGCATCAGCATCAACATCATCATCATCATCATCATCATCATCATCATCATCATCATCATCATCATCATCATCATCATCATCATCATCATCATCAGCATCATCATCATCATCATCATCATCATCATCATCATCATCATCATCATCATCATCATCATCATCTGCATCATCAGCATCATCATCATCCTCATCTTTATCCTCAACCTCATCCTCAACCTCATCCTCATCCTCATCCTCGTATTCATCCTCGTCCTCACCCTCATCAGCATCAGCATCAGCATCATCATCATCAGCAGCAGTAGTATCGGCAATAGCATGACCATCATCACCATCGTCGTCATCATGACCATTATCATGGATAGCATCAGCATCATCAACAGCAGCAGCATCATCAGCAGCAGCATCATCAGCATCAGCATCATCATCATCGTCAGAATCATCATCATCATCATCATCATCATCATCATCATCAGCATCATCATCATCATCATCATCATCATCATCATCATCATCATCATCATCATCATCATCATCACCATCAAAATCACCATCACAATCACCATCATCGCCATCGTCATAATCATCAGCATTACCATCGTCATCATCATCAGCATCATCCGCATCATCATCATCATCGCCATCATCAGCATCATCATCACCCTCATCATCATCACCAGCAGCAGCATCACCATCCTCATCAGCCTCGTCATCAGCATCACCATCATCATCAGCAGCATCAGCAGTACCAGCATCACCACCACCACCTCCATCATCACCATCATCAGCATCAGCATCAGCAGCATCATCATCAACAGCAGCATCAGCAGTATCATCACCACCACCTCCTCCATCTCCATCAGCATTAGCATCAGCAGCATCATCATCTGCATCATGCATCATCAGCATCATCAGCATCTGCATCAGCATCATCACCATCACCATCATCCTCATCCTCATCCGCATCAGCATCATCATCATCATCATCATCAGCAGCAGCATCAGCATAAGCATCAGCATCAGCATCATCAGCATCAGCCGTATCATGATCAGCATCAGCAGTATCATGATCACCATCATCAGCATAAATCGTCCACACCATCATCAGTATCATCATCATCATCATCATCATCATCATCATCATCATCATCATCATCATCATCACCATCATCATAATCATCAGCATCAGCGTCAGCATCAGCATGAGCATCATCAGCATCATCATCATCATCATCATCATCATCATCATCATCATCATCATATGTGTCATCATCATCATCAGCAGCAGCAGCATCATCAGCATCATGAGCATCGTCATAATCACTATCACCATCACCATCACCGTCATCCTCATCCTCATCCGCATCATCATCATCACCATCATCATCCTCATCAGCATCAGCATCAGCATCAGCATCATCCTCCTCATCATAATCATCATCAGCATCAATCGTCCACATCATCATCATCATCATCATCATCATCATCATCATCATCATCATCAGCAGCAGCATCATCCTGGGCTTCTGCCTTCTGAACTGTGGTAGTACGAGAGGGCAAACCTTGGCTGAAGCCCACTAATTACGACTGTGCGGGAATATCAAGTCACACTCCGCAACCATTGCAGCTCGGTGATCCTTTTCGATCGATTCGGGCAGATCCCCTCCAAGACGACGGATGTTTTTATAAATGTGAATATGACAGCAAAGTCTGACTAGCCTCCGAGGAGGTGGAGGCCGCAAATCCAGCTAACAGAAAATCTAGCAACGTCGCAATCGACTGGAAGGGAAACACCTTCCCTTTGATCCCTCCCCCGCCGGAGGGGGTCTGGATGAGGGAGGGTCCAGGGCGCCTGGGGGGTCCCCCGGGGGGGTCTCGAGGGGGGTCCTGGGGGGGGGGTCCTGGGGGCTGTAACCCGCCCCCAGCCCGGAAAAAAGCACGAGTAACAGCCCAAGATCGCTCCAAGACGGCCCAAGATACCCTCAAGACGGCCTTAGAAGCTCCTCTGACGCCTCAAGAGGGCCCCAAGAGGAGCCCAAAGAGGGTCCCCAGAGGCGCACTAATTTGTCTATCCTCGCCTTTTCGAGCTTCCGACGCTCCAAGATTTCCCGGGAAGCTGCCAAACTCGCCCCAAGAAAGCCCGAGAGGCTGCCGAAAGCGCATGAGAACAATCCAAGACAGCCCCAAGACGGCCCAGGAACGCCCCCCCCATAACCGCCCAAGAGGCCCCCAAGACGGCCGCACAGGGCCCGAACACGGACCCAAAAGAGGGAACCCCAACCGACATCCCGAGCCTTCCGACCCAACAGGCCCCCAGGAGGCCCCAAGAGGCGCCCGAGAAGCCCCCAAGAGGCCCAAGAGACCCCCAAGAGCACTCCCAAGACAACTCCACGAGGGCAAATCGATGTTTGGCATTACGCTTTTGAAATGCTTCGTCGGCGCCGTCGTCGCCTCCGTCCTCCCGCTTTTCGGGGGTCGGCGGCACTGGCCGTGAGGCCTCCGCAACACGAAAGCCAAGTCTGAACAGCAGACGAGGAGACGGGCCCCCGAGGAGGTCGATGCCGGGCCGACACGGATGCACGGGGCATTGCATGCAGCACGCACAGCTGCAAGGCAGGTGCTGATCTCACGGCTTGGAGACCACTGCAGGGACGCACGGGGCCCGTGCCTCCCTGCCCCCCTTCTGCCTGTGCTGCGGAGCTTTTCCCCT